ATACATATTGAATTATCGGAACTATAAAATTAATTGAGTTTAAACGTAACAGATTTTTGGGCGACGCTTGGTTCGTGGAAGATGACCTGTCATCGGGATTTCAATTATATTTTATTCTGGACTCCAATTATTCATTAAAAATCTGATTAACGTTACATATAAAATGTGCTGGCCGGATTTTTCATGGATGAGTCCGGAACGAAATAACAATTGAAAGCTCAATAACAGGTTTGCACTCATGTACATCGAAGTTCCATTGCACAGTTTTAAAATTTCACAGTTTAATCATTCTTAAACAAAATCCTTTTACTTTATAAAGGCAAAAGTCGCACTTTCAGCAAGATATGTCAATTTTGAACTATAAAACTAAGCATAATTTATTTTACTTCAAAAGATAAACCTGTTATTCAATGGAAAATTGTTATTTTCGCGTTTCTTGGGTGCACATTCGAATATTTTAATTTTTTATTTTGCTTCTTCACGGTACGTTATTTTTATTTTATTTTATCCTATCAAATTTCTTAACTAAAATTTATCATTATCTACAGCATCGCTCATGATTTTGATGTACAACCATCTGAAGTTGTTGCGAGGTACTTATCTATAAAAATTAAAAGAATAAAAAGACTAATTAACATTAAATCTATAAAAATTAAAAAGATGAAAAAACTAAATAATTAACTCTTTTTTTATCAAGTTTAATTGCAACATTAGCTATGCGCCCTGTTGGAGCGTTAATCTTTGGTATATTAGCTGATATATACGGCAGAAAATATCTATTTATCATTAATATTATTTTATGCTTCATATTTGGAGGTGCTACAGTATTTGCTCAAAATTTATATGCTTTTATAGCATTACGAGCAATTTTTGGAATCATGTTAGGAGGTTTATGGGGAATTCGATCTGCATTACTAATGGAAAGATTGCCAATAAAATCTCGCGGGTATAAAAGTTAAAAATATTAAATTCAATAGTTTTCTTCACATTTATCCTTCACGTTTATCTAATGATTTCATATGATTATTTATTAGATTATTTTCTGGAATTTTACATCAAGGGTATCCAACGGGTTACATAGTTGCTGCATTATTGAATTATGCAGTAATTAATTCTCTGGGTTGGCGCGCAATGTTCTCGCTAAGTTCTTTCTCCGCTCTTTTAATCGGTTTAATAGGAACTTCTATAAAAGTATCTAATTCATGGAGAAAAATACTTAACGAGCGTAATAACAATGGACATAATTTGATAGTCGAAATGAGAAAGGTTTGCTAATTTTATTTGTTAGTGCTGATGTTGAAATTTAGCTTGAGATTTTGGATCGAAAAATATATCCTACTATAATCTGATTAATGATTCTAAGCCCTAAAAAAATTCAACTAAATTTTTTTCATAATCATATTAAATTTCAGCGTTATTGTTTATTTTTATTTCTCAATTAACATATAAACTTGTGATTTGAATAAAATAGACACTTAAAAATAACTGGTTAAGGATAATTCGTTTAATTGTGTTAATGGCGTGTCTCAAGTTAGCTTTTCACGGTAAATAATAAGTTATAGTTATTGTATGGATATCTGGGTGTAACTAATTACACACGGGTTTATATTCAAATCACGTGGCCGAAGGCCA